GATTGTGACTTTCTTCTAAAGTCAAGATAAGTATTGACCTTATTATCTTGACTTAATTGTAGGTGCTTGACGATCCGAGCTCGCGACCTACTCATAAATTGTGTGCTACCTCTTGCTATACCAGGTGGGTTTACTTATGAAATTTCTTGTGCTGTAAATGTTAATAAATGATTTATTTGTGGTATGATCAAAGTATGCATTTGAATCACGTAGCCTTCGGTGTGAGCTGTATCGGCCACCGGACGGTTGTGCGCGTAGCTATAGAACATACCCGTTGGGTAGTCTCCCATTAGAGCCTTAAGACCAGGGCTTAGGTCCCTCGGCTGGTGATCCTCATTGGTAAGACCATGGCAAGGCCTTAGCTGGTGGGGTGGTTTACTCCTACTGGCTGGCACTCGATGTAGGACTGGAGGACATTCGATATATAGTCAGCAGTAGTCGATGCATAGGTGTGCATATGAGTCTGATTATTGTGATTATTGATGGGAGAATGGGATAGTGTATTGCTTCGTATACATGCTGAGACCATACCTTTTTTATTATTGATTATTGTTGATTATTGACATTAACGTTTATCGCATAGTGTGAGCATTACTGTTTTCTTTTGTGCTCATCCCACCTGCTCTTCATGGATGCAGGTTAGTATTGCGGGCACGACAGGAGAAGACGAGTGGTGGTCATAATAAATGTTTTGCTTCCACCTTAAACTGAATAAATGCTATTATTGATTTCTTTATGAATTATTGGATTATTGAGGATTATTGTTGGATTATTGATTATTGATAAATGAATATTGAGGATTGAGTATTGATGATTGTTTGAAATCTGATATTGGTTTTGTAAATGAGTAGCGCCTCACGTTGTTTTTGAAATAAATTCGAAAAATTTATCCTAAATTCTGGCAAATAAAAGTGTGGCGTTACAAGTTATTAATCCAATCCATTATTGATATAGCCAAGCTATCATCGTAGCCGCTTTGCTAGCGTGATCGATGTACTGACATTCTGATCAAGTCGTGAGCACCATCGAACGGTTATCCCCGTAGCTATAGAACGTACCCGTTGGGTAGTCTCCTTTATCATTGTGGGAGGTCAGGGCGTGAGCCTTGGTTGGTGATCCCCGTGTAAGGCCAAGGGCCATTAGGGTGGATTTACTCCTACTGGCTGGGCATTTGATGTGAGGCCAAGGACCATTCGATATATAGCCGGCAGTAGTCTATTGATATAGGTGTGCACATGGGAGTGATTATTGATTATTGATGGGAGATTGGGATAGATTAATGCTTCGTATACATGTTGAGACCATACCTTTGATAATTGATACTGTTTATTATTGCGGTTAACATTTATTGCATTGCGGTGAGCACTATTGTTTCCTTTTGTGCTCATCCTCACCTGCTCTTCATGGATCGTCTACCAGCTATTCCCATGTGCTATATCACAATTCATCCCGCTTGTCTATTCAACTTCCCATTGTCTTGACAGCAGCTTTACTTCCCCGAAACCCATACGATTAGTGATTACATGGATTCTGGAATAGATAGGGCACTTAACTGTGTTTCAAACCCTCTAAACCCATGTGATTTACATTGATCATTGTCCATTAAATTCCCTTTTTTTGTTTGTCAACATCAAAAAAAAAAAAAAAAA